ACAAAGGCTACAGCAGGATTGCAAGTGGAAATTCTTCAGCCATGTGGCAATCAAGTGCCTGCATTATTTTCCCACTAAGATCCTATGTGCACAGAATTGCACGTGCATGGCACCGTCCCACGCACATATCAACAGACAGAAGTGAGTAAATTATGTGGTGACAAGCCATTATTAGAGCAATGCGAAACATGGAAGAGTTGTGCTCCACTTTAAAACATGAGAGTGCTCAATCTCATCAAGAAGCAGCCTGCCATCAATCCTTGTGAGACATCCCTCTCGTGTATTCTTTCCTTTTTTTTCTTTTTTTATTTTTAAATAATTAAAAATTTAACTAAGTTGGGTCCAAGGAGTTCATTAGAATCAAGTCATATATCTCATGACTCAAAGAGTATACATAGAAGTATTTATATATTATCTGCTAATATTATCTTCATATTGACAACATGATTTAAACCTACGTTCTTGCGGGATATGGGCAACTTTTTGATCCCTTGTATCTTATCTTTTTTCCCTTGTTTTTTAATAACTCGAAATTTAGATAAACTGGATCTTAGGAATTTACTGAAGTTATGACATGTCTCACGACTCAATAGATACTAATGAGGTACTTATAGGTTACTTAATAAGATTGTTCTCACCTCAGCAACATATGTCTTGTATTTTCTTCCTATTAAAAATTTATGGAATATGGATTACTATGAACTAATTATTAAACTAATTGATTAAATACATTAGTACAAAATATCAAATGATTAATTGACTTACATTATTATGGACATATATTGGATCTAGTATTCATGGATAGTCTGCTAATAGGTGAACTATTCATAAGCTTATTTTCAAAGAATACAGCCTCGACTCAGTTCATTGTTGTAAGGGTTTGTGTTTTTGACATTAAAGCTCATTAAGGATTAGTATGGAGGATTGTGAGTTAACTTGTCCTTTGCTACCTAGTTTTCAAGCTACTACCTTCTTTTTGTTGGATTGGTGGCATGACAATAATTTATAATCCGATGAACTTTAAATCTTATCTATCAATTTATTTCCTAGGACTTCTAATCTAATAGGAATAATGTTTAGTTGTCACAAAAAATTGTTTATTCCTTTTGACACTTCAGAGATCTCAACTGATTCTAATCATAGACACTCAGAGAAACAAATTGAATTGTGTTTGCTCTGTGTTGGATCCTTGTATCTCATGATATGTTTTCTGTTTTAAGTTATAAAAATATTTCACACATTTTGGCAAGTCTGGTTGTATAAAGCAAACCCACAAGACAAATCTCAAATATTTTTAAAAATTATGAAAAATAAACTCTCTATGTGTTATATCTCTATTAGATTTTCTTCATGCAAATTCTCATTGAAATATGCCCTTGAGTAGTTTAGTTATGAAGTGTCATGAGATTTGATTAAGAATTATTAAATGGTTTTGTGGTGATGGAATAATAACATTATTAATGTCGTAATTGAAGAGGCCCTAGCAATTATATATATGGCTACGAGCTAGAAAATACTCAGTCTTGTTCTTCTCTTTCTTATGAAAGTATAATGTGTCAAAGCTGTGATTGAAACTATGCTGTTGGTACCATCCACTTTATGAGGAAGTAAATGAATTGTAAAGCACTTGAGAACCATTACTCGTGGGACATTGAATCTGATATTGATCGATTGTATTACAAGAGAAGTCGTTTTCTTCATTGAAGACCTTAAGTATCAGAATATGAGTAAAATTAGAAACACAAAAATAAGATAGATTATTAGTTCATCACATTTTGAATGTTATATTTAGAATTCATGTACTTAAAAAATTCGTTTGATTAATTTAAAAATTTTCAAATGAAGAAAATAAATAAATTGAGATTTCAAACAAACATGAAAAATTGATAATGATAAATTTATTTCTATTTTTTATTTAACATAGACGAGAATAAGAGATGAATAAACATAAGAGAGTTATAAATACATCAAAAATAAAAACACAAAAAGAATAATTAGGGTGTAGAGGAAATTCAAATAACTAAAAAAGAATGATAATAAGAGATGAATTTGGATTTGAATCAAAATTAAATTCATAATTTTTTGAATATTCAAATAAAGAATTTGATTCAAATTTGAATCTAAATCCCCATAAGATCCAAACATATCATTATCGAAAAGTTCATCCCATAGTAAAATTGTGTGAAGAAAAGACATTAATTTTTTTTTGAAACAAAAAATACTTATCTTTAGATTTAGGTACAGGAGCATCACATTCTTTATATCACTTTATCGTTACGAAGCAACCATGTTAACTTATAATCATGGAAAACAAATAATTGATGTTAGTTCATTGTATATGTTTTTATCATGCCCATCTCAAAATAAAATTGACATTCTCATCTGAGCAACTTCTTATGTCTCTCATGAGGAGTAGCAAGTGTAAGACACATGTATTTATATATAATATAAAAAATTTAACAAAATATATTGCTCGTGAGTTATAAATATTACTTTTCTAATTACCTTTCCTTTGATAATATAGTATATTGTTTTAATGTCAAAAAAATAAACATCACAGGTCAATTTGAATAGTAAGAAAAGCTAGGAAAAAAAGAAAATCAGAGAAAACAAAAACATATGTAGGAAGGGGATGCTTCCCCCTTTCTTTGAAAAATCTTGGAAAATTTTTTTATTTTACTTATAAAAAAATTGAAAATTAGTGTTATTCCCCATATTTCAAGTAGTTTTCATTTTTGCCCCTATGTTGGTTTTTGGATTCTTCCCTGGGAGTAAAAAAATGGAGAAAAGAAAAAAAATAGAAAAATAATATTATCACCTCTTATATTTAGATGTCTAAAAGAAAATATAGAAAAAAAAAGGAAAATGAAATAAAAAAATAATAATATCCTTGTATTAAAATATATTGTCTCATGTCATTATTGGAGTTAGTAATTTAGGCTAAATCTAACAAATTAGCCCAAATAAACTCAAAAAACTTTAGAATCATGCCTCAAAAGATTGCATTTTTTTATTTTTTTTTCCAAAATAAAGGTATGGGATTTGACAAGTGAGGGAGGTTAAGAGGAAAGGAGGACAACGATGAAAAAATATTTTTTTAAAAAAAATATTTCCATAAATGGAGAGAAAATTTGAAAGAAAGAAGTGCCATTTCCTCTTTATTTTTTTCCCACATTTTTCCTCCTATTTTTTCTTGAACAAAATAGGAAAAATGTGTTTTCTCTCCTATTTCTTCTCTCTCTAATTTTCTCTTCTCTTATCTTTTCTTCTCATCCCAGCAAAGGTATTTATCTTTTAAATTATGTGCAATTTACAAGATCATGCAAGTCAAGAAGCAATTCTTATGTAGATTGAGTGTGCCATATTATTTATAGTCTATTTAATTAAAGTGTCCCATGTTATTTAAATGAAATCTTATGTAACATTAATTTAATTAATTCTATTCTTATAATAGAATGCATATTTAATTTCTTGACTTTTCTCTTTCTATTATCATTAATATTAGAATTAATTTATATTAAATATCATCTTAATGTTTTTTATCAAGCAAACTACAAATAATATGATACACCTAATGTATCTAAGAATTTCTTGTACTTCCTCTATCTTGAATTATAAGATACTTTTTAGGAAAGATTTAACGTCTCAAAATATAAGATACTTTAATAAAATAAGATTTTATTAATAATATTTTTTTCAATATTACTCTTCTCATATATTCTTTCTCTTTAATATTCTTTTATTAATAGAGTATTAAATGAAAGATATTTTTAAAAGTTTATTTTTTATCTTAAAAAAATAAAAGTATAAAATATATTTAATGAGTTTTATAGATATTTAAATTTTATTTTAAAGTGTTTAATAATTTAGGACGGAAAGAGTAAATCAGTACTTATACCATAATAAACGAGCTTCGATGAAAGTAGTCGAAGGTCGAAATACATCCTCATTATAAATTTAAAAGGTAAAACAAATCAAATTTAATAAGGATTGAACTTTACTGTGATTTACCTTTGTTTTGTTTTGTCTTTTTTTTTTGGCATAAGAGTTCCCAAAGCTTTTACCTGGTGGTGGGGAAATTATAGTTATTTATTTAAAAGAATGATATTTAAGGCCCCTCAAAAGAATTTATGGCAATTAAAATCCATAAGTTTTGTATCACATATTTTGTTGTGAAAATATATACATATGTTGTTGGTAAAAGCTTAACTTTAACTTGTAATTTTTGTCAGATTTTTTTTTTTTTGGGAGAATGACGATTGAAGACCCTCTAAAGACATTAATTCCAGTTAGAGATCCTGAAAAATAGAAATCTCAATTAAAGACCATGGTCTTTAAGTGGGATAAAAAATAAATTTGAGTTTACAAAACTGCCCCCTCACTAAACATTGAAAGGTAACAGGAAAGAAGCTCATCTCGTGTGCTCTGTTTTCTTGTTTTTCAGCGAGAAAAATACTGATGGAGTGTGCTCTCGTGCGTTGAAAATGTTAGGGAAAAATTAGTGGAGCATAATCGTTTTCTAATAAGTAATTGTATGCATTGCTTCTTTTACATTTCGTCCTCTGCCATGCGTGAAAGAGAAGTCTGCATCTTCTTCTTCCATTTCTTTTCCATTGCTCTGTTTTTTTTTTACACATGTCCTCTGTCAAGCATGCACAAAAAGAATGTTTTAATATTTGCAAATGCTATCTTGCACCATTTCTCTTTGTTTTATACCTAGAAAAAAAAGTAGTCTTTTTAATGATTACTAGACTTTATATATAGACATGCAGAAGAAATGATTTCCGAGAACGACACAGTTGAAAAAGTTGAGGAGTGAAAAACAAGGAAAATATAACATGAATGTTGAATTTTTGTGATCTGTGTTGAAAAGTGCGTGAATGTTGAAAAATGTAACATGGATGCTGAATTTATGTAGTCAAGGTTGGGATTATGGAATGGATAGTTGTAAAGTACTAAATTTGTATGTTGCTTGTAGTTGTTCCAGGTTTATTTCCCATATGGCAAGTACTTCAGCAAAAGAAGTATTTTGTTATCTTTATGTTGATGGACATTTTGTAAAAGATTTACAAGGGAAGATGACCTATGAAGGTGGGAGATTAATTTCTAAATTGATTAGAGAAGGCATAAATCTTGAAGAGCTGTTGAGGATGGTGTCATCAGTGACAGGAGTTGAAAGTGGTGCATCTGAGTTAAAATTTACAGTGAAGTTTAGTGAAGACACATACATAGATTTGTTAGACGATGAGGGAGTACAACATTTGATAAAGTATAATGATGAGTCAGCACATGTGCATGTTGAGACAAATGATAATGAAATAAATGGAGCAATGGATAACTCGATGGAGTAAGTTGTTATTCTTAATTATTTGTGTGTTTAATTAGTTTAATGACCATTTATATTGATCTGTAAGTAATTGTAAATGTAGGATGGAGAATTTGTTAACATGGTTACTGCCAGGATCTCCTTGTAGGCAAGAGCTTGAAAGTATATCACCCTCTTTGTCATGTTCAACACAAAATGCTCTTGCACCACTGCCTGAGGTTAATTCGGTAAAATGGAAGGATTTATTTATGGGTATTGGCCAGACATTTGATGATGCAATTATATTCAAAAAAGCACTATATAAATACAACCTTGCTCATAAGTTTGGTTACATATTTGTGAGAAACAGCCCTAAGAAGATGATTTTCAAATGCAATATTGATGATTGTAAATGAAAGATATCAGCTTATGCTCTTGGGAAGACAACCTCTATATTTGTGTGAAAAAATTCCACAATGAACACATACACTCTGCTCAAGACAACCTCCTATTAAAGCAAAAGGCTAACTCAAATTGACATCATCAATCATCATTGATGCTGTGAGGGGGAATGTGGAGAAAACGTCAAATGAGATTAGACAAGACCTCTACAAAGAGTATGGGTTAAATCTCACATATCGACAAGCTTTGAGGGGAAAAGATAGAGCATTGGAGGAAATACATGGGCTTCCACAGCAGTCATACATGTTGATTCCATAGCTTTGTGAGAAATTGAAGGAGACGGACCCAGACACAGTTGCAAAGTGGGTTGCCTCGACAAATTATAGATTTGATAGACTTTTTATTGCATATGGATACTGCATCAAAGGGTTTCTCCAAGGTGCTCATCCAATTTTGTTTATCGATGGAAGTCATTTAAGCGGTCCATATAAGGGGACTTTGCTAGCAGCTTCTGCAATTGATGCAAATAATGACTTATTTCCTTTAGCTAATGCAATAGTGGGTGGAGAAACATATGATAATTGGGCTTGGTTTCTTGAAAATGTGAGAGAGATCACACACCAAGTTCAATTGACCATAATGTCAGACAGGCATAATGCTATTGTTGGTGCAATACGTGCAATATTTGATGGCAATCGACATGCTTTTTGTTATCGTCATGTTAAAGAAAATTACAGCTCAAAATTTACAAAAATTAATAGAGGCATGCGAAGGATTGATGGGATCACCAAGGAAGATGCACTTAAGTTGTTGGATAATATTGCATATGCAAGGTTGGAAACAGAATTTCATGTTGCTATGCATCATTTGATGGTTTTCTCCCCACAGTTGGCAAGATGGTTAGAAACAAATGGGGACATAAATCTTTGGGCGTTAGCAAGATTTCCATATAAAAGATGGGACAATATAACATCAAACCATGCTGAATCTTTCAATGCTTGGTTAGTGAAAGAGAGAAAACATCATATATGTGCGTTGATAAATGAGCACCGAGCAAAATTAGCGAGGAAGCTATACAATAGCAAAATAGAAATGGTGAATTGGTCAAACGGAGTTGGACCACGTGTTGAGGCAAAATGGAGGGAGAATGTATTGAGAGCTGAAGTTATGGTGGCTGAACATTATAGTGTGAATATGATACTAGTGAAGGTAGGAAACAATGACTTGAGATTGAATCTAACATTGCAAGAATGCTCTTGTCAAGAATGGCAAATGGTAGGAATTCCTTGTGCACATGCATGTGCAGCAATAAAATTAGTTCAGGGTAATATGTATTCATATGTTGAAGAATGCTACACTATTCGTGCACAAGAAAAAATTTACAGCTCTACAATGATTCCGGTGGAAACCATTGACATGCCTCAGTTAACCGAGCTACATTATGAAGATTATGAAAAGAATACCTTTTTGGAACCACTACTGACTACACGTCCCCTAGGGCGACCACCTACCAAGCGAAGAGAGTCTCAATTTCAGAATAAAAAAGTGTATCATTGCTCAAGATGTAATCAAGCTGGACATACCAAGAATAGATGTAGGAATCCCAATCCAATATAAGGATTGAAAGGGGGTGAAAACCATATGCATATTAGTTAGTTTAAAATTGAAATGCATATGGTTTTTATTTATTTTGTGCATTTTGCTGTTGAATGACCTTTTGTACTGGCAGCCACCTCATATGTTTTTTGTACTTGTGGAGGTGATAGGTTATGTAAATGGGATTGCAGTCTATGTTTTTTTTTTGATAAGGACTGCATAGGTACCATTTAGATAACTGGGATATTTTTTGGGTAAAAAGGGATGCAAATATGGTGTACATGTATTGCAATCAGTGTAATATAAAGCTGATGAAAATTTTAGGTCTAAATTTATCCAAGTAAAAATGCTGTCATGGTATAAGACTGTTGAATTCACTAACGTAGTAAGGGATATTGCTAATGTAACTTCTGACAACATAGAACCTTATTTGGGATTAAAATTTTCTACAGTATTTCAGAAAATTAAGAGACTTGTCAGATAATAGGAATCAATAACGTTGGTTGGCAATTTCATATCCAAAGCAAGAAAAATTCCTACCATAAGTTGTGAAATGAATAACCCCACTTAGGTGTCATTGTTTATCAGAAGATACCTGTCAAAAATCGGGATCCGGTAACCTTACCTGAGAATTCCCTAACCTAAGTTAGAAAAGTAGCTAACGTATAATGTGAAATGTCCTAACATGACTTGGGAACTCTTTTTTTTTGTGAGTCTTGCCACAGATTGGGTTTCAAAAACCACAGTTGGAAATTCCCAAACCTACCTTGGAAACATAACTAACGTATGTTGTGAACATGCCTAAAGTGATTTGGGAATTCATTGTTAAAGGATAAGTATTGCCACAAGTTGGGTTCCAACAAAGTCAATTGGGAATGGCCTAACCTAAATTAGGAAAAAGTTGAACGCATGTTTTGAAAGAGCCTAATGTGACTTAGGAATTGACTGCGTAAGGATAAGCCATTTCGCACAAGTTTTGTTCCAGCAATCTCACATGAGAATTTGGTAACTTAAGTTGGAAAAGTAACTAACATATGTTGTCAAAGTTCCTAATGTGACTTGAAAATTTATTATTTGATGAAAACCGACGTGGCATAAGTTGGGTTCCAGCAAAGTCTCTTGCGAATGTCCTAACCTAACTTGGAAAAAAGCTGCATGTATGTTTTGAAAGAGCCTAACGTGAATTGAGACTTCATTATGTAAGGATAAGCTGCTAGGCACAATTTGTGTTCCACCAACCTCACTTGAAAATTCCGTAACATATATTGTGAAAAACCAAATGTCAGTTTTGAAAGTAACGTGAGTCAATGAAAATCAATAACAGTTTGTCAAATTTGTTGAACATGTAGTCAAAGTTTTTTTAAATTAATTGCTGTATCATATACAAGAAGCCACGGAAAAAACTTAATTACATAAAGGTTTAATTTACATATCAGAAATATCTACATTATAATTTCAATCTTTTGGATCGTGCATGCCCAGCATTCGAAATGGATGTCATGACTTGAGAGCCCACTCTGTTGTGTGGATGAGTCACCAACCAATACAATACCTCACTCCTCATTTCACTCAATTGTTCCTACACAATCACATAAAGTCAACTCACAAGATAGAAAACTGTCACACATAAGAAATTATATCTTAGCTTTAACATTTGTTCCTACCATTGTTAGAGAAGGCATAGTAAGGCCACCCCATTCCTCTCGTGCAGTATTATTCCACTGTCTAAGGCAAAAGATGACATACATTCCACAATCAGATCTACAAAAAATATGAAATCTGTCAGCACGTAGTTGGGAAATATATACTTAATTACATGTACACAATTTCAGCTTTTTTACTCACGTCGTCGGTTGCTGTTCCATAGGCACCACTTTCAACTCAAGGTCATAATTGTCATCAACAAGTTCAGGTTTCAGTTGCATTAATATTTCTACAAACCTGCTTTTCTGAGAATAAGAACAAAGTGAATGAGAAGCTTCTACCAACAAAATTTTATATATCATTATATGGGAAAATGCATACCATAAAATATGCCATTTTTTCCTTCTCTTTCGGCAACATCGCTTCCTTCGCTTTCTTTATATTCTTCTTTTTCTTCTTTGATTCTTTACCAGATGGTAGCATCGAGTCCAGCACATATATTGTGGTTGTTTTTGGCTCCACAACATAGCAAAACCAATGTAATGCAAACACTATAGGGAAAAAATAAAATCGCAATCTCCTATGTTATACCCGATGGATAGTTGGCATGAAGTCCTTCAAATGGCTATCCAAGTCCCATCTTTTTTGTTGGTGGATTATGGTTCCCTGAAATGAAAAAATGTAACACTTGTAACTTGTAAGCACCTAATAAAACAAAGGAATTAAACTGTAAGACAAACCGTAAAATCTGGATCAAAAATGTGTCGTCGCACAAGTTGATCCTTTTCCTTTTGCTCATTGACCAAAAGTCTTCCAATTAATGTAACAACCTACATAACAAAATTATAGTTACATTAAAATTTTACTATAACTTGATCTATTTTAACTAGCACACTTGCTCACCGAACTACTAATCCATTATCTAGGACCTAGGCACTTTCATTCATATCTTGTCACATAATACTGCTCAATCTCCATAATTTTCTTGTTACAGAAAACAAAATTATATCAACTAATCGATTATGAATGCATGAACTAGTAAGGTTGAATATCATACTCATGTCCCTCATTGGGTGGAATGGACTTTGTACAGTATTGGTAAACTTCTTTCTTTATACATTGTCCTATTTCTTCATGTCCTCTTTTTGCCTTCCCTCTATCATCCAAAAAGGGTGAACGAATAGTGCTGACTATTTGTCGTTGTGACCGTCTTAGTGTCCTTTAACCCTTAGAGTATTTTTTTCTAATTGGCTTTTCTACTTCTTCTTGTGCACCCGATTCTCCCTCCTTTTCATTTTTATCTCCTTCTAATTGTCCTTCCTCTTCTTCTTTTTCATCTTCTCTGGATCCCCTTCCTCTTTATTTTCATCTCCTTCTACTTGTCCTTCCTCTTCCTCCTTCTCATCTTCTTCGAATTCTCCCTCCTTTTCATTTTCATCTCCTATCTCTTCTCCTTCCTCTTCTTTGTCATCATGCTGTTCAACAACTTCCTCTCCTTCTTTTTTATCTTGGAGCTTGAGGAGTCTTTGTGCAATTCCACGTGTAAAGGTCACAATATCTCTGTATACCTCTTTTATGTCCTGCACCATATAAAATGTCATATGTTTAAAATTATATAAAAAAATAACTTTGCTAATTAACAACCATCATTTTTCCCTTACCGAATCATAAAAGGAAGTCATTTCTGGAAGCTCTACAGAGAAGCTATCATGTCCTTGAGAAGGGTGATACAAAATGCCATGATCACTTGCCTTCTCAAGTTGAACTCGTGCTGTCACTCTCTCCTCTGTCCAATGTTCCAAAGCATCTTCTCACAATGACCTCAATTGGCTCCAATGGAAACATTTGAAAGTAGAAAATCTGTATATTTACATTTATATCATATAACCCACAGAATTTTGCAAAATAATTAACTTATAACAAATTATATCTTAATTTACCCACATACCGCAAGAAGAAATAAGCATCCTCCAATAGTTTTTTTGTGCCCATCCTTCTTCTCCCATGCTTTATATTCGGCTACCTCCTTTTCAAGCTCAGATAGTATAAAAGATGACCAATCATAATGTACAGTTCCTAAATTTAACCCGGACATGACTTTCAATAGTTTATCACTTATTTTGGAACTCGAACTTGGACAAAGAAAATTCCCTAAGCAATAGAGAATGAAGAGAAACTCAAATTTATCATTTTCTTTCCCCGAGAGTATCCTGTCCTTAATTACATTATAGGATACTTTTTTAAACTCCTTGTTTAACAACTTTAATCTATTCTTATCCCCATTCATATCAACTATCTCCCCATCATTAGGCAAGCCAAGTAAGGCATGAACTGCTTTGCCATGGATGACTTTCCTTTGACCTCTAATGAAAAGGGATGATGTAGGAGGATCAAATGCCTTCATCACTTCATCGCATAAATCTCTAGGCAACTTGTGACATTTAATATTTAAAAGCTTACCAAATCCTATTCTATTAACCCTATCCCTCAAAGATTTTTGCTTTTTTCTATAATCAAAAACTTCCTTCATCTTTGTCGGAGAACATCTTGTCTCAAATGGAATTTGTCCAAGTAAAACAAGTCAGCACCATTACTTGAATTCATCACATTTTTCATGCTTGAGGTCAAAAACAACATACCTCATAAGCTTTTATACCAGTGTTTCCTCCTTAGCCAGACACTTATAGTGATCTTGTTCTTCTGATGTCAACTTTTTCCATGCTGCACTTGCTTCTGCGTTGAGTTTTTTCAAATCATTTCCTTAGGTTGTATACTTGCCACAATATGCCTCTTTAAACTTGCTTAAACCAGAATAACTTTTTTACCTTAAAGGATTTCCTTTTGTTTTAGCCATTATCCTGCACATTAACAATTAGGGTAAAAAAAAACTACTATTGAATTGTCACCAATGAATACACAAAATAATACTATTAGATTTACAAACATGAAATCTGAATTTTCTCCATAGAACATGCGAGGGTCAGGGAAAGTCATAGTCACAGCCTCCCTAACTTCGCTAATTTTTTGGTTAAGATTGCATTCGTCTTTTACACAAGCAAATTTTCAAGTCAGAAGAACCTTGCCAAACTTTTATTTTATGAGGACATCATAAGAGCTTTAATGTCAAATTAAGACTTTTCAACATTGATGTTTCTAAATTTCAGTACTCCTTCAACCATGTTTCAATACTAAAATTCCTTATTTGGCATTAATGTTATTACAAGCTCTTTATTTGTCATTCTCCCTTATTTTTAACTATTTTATTAGTCTATAATATCTTATCGACCTTTCTGCTACAATCTATATTTATGTTTTCCTTCTATTATGAAAAGGAAAGCTTTTCCAAATTCAGAGACCAAACACCAAACATGCCAATG